TAGAGCCTTGAAGGAATAAACCCAACCTTTGCCCTAATATAGTGAAAAAGGAGAATAAGTAGAGGAGGAGAGAAAAGTTAGGACCTTCTTGCTTACCCTCCTGTCTTGGCAGTGAAGGAGGTGTGGGAACAGTTTAGGGACATGGCATTTTAGAGAGGTCTCTAGTTCTGAGCAGGGTGTGTTCTCTGAGTTGCTCAGATCCTGGGGTCTTCTAAGGCGGTAAATGAGTTACCGATGCTAGAATTTTGTGAGTCAGCCTCCTCTCTTTCTTTTCTGATACCTTATAGTAGACTGGATAAGGTGATGGATGTATAGCTGTTGTATCTGTCTACATCCCTTTGAAACCAAGGAAAGATGGCTATATGGGAACTTTGACTTTGACTTTTGAACAAAACCTACAAAGAAAGGAATGCCATGTATTTGGCTACACCAGCCAGAACTGGTGTAAGAAATGACTGTCTAAACAAATAGCAGCTCAAGGAACAAACAGTAACAACTCAAGAATGGCAATGTGCTATTTTATTTATTGGCAGTCATTGTTAATGATTATGCCATGGCTGAGGCCTTTACAGTCTCAGAAATAACTGTGAAGGAAGATTACGTACATTATGATAATTCTTGGAAAAAAAATATTGCTGCCAAGCATATTAATGGAGACCTGTAACCCTAGCAGTCAGGAGGACATCCTGGGCTACTTCAAGGCCAGCCTGTCCTGGGCAGCAAGACAATCTCAAAAACAAAACAAGCAAATGAGTGAACAAACAAACAGTATTCCCTCTTTTCAGTTTGATCCTGCTATTTTGCTTGTAGTCTGGTGGGGTAATAAGAGGAAAGAAGACCTCAGATTCTTAGTGATTCACATCCTGACTTTGGCCATTTCAGGGTAAAGTAGAAACTGCCTGGTTTATCCAGTTTGCCAGAAGTCATAAAAATGTAGTTTTGTCACATCATTGTATATAAACTGTACAATAATGGCTGAGTCCAGTTATTTGAAACCTAGGAATCTGGAGAGATACTGTAGAGAACCTCTCTTAAACTTAAAACCCATTTATTGCTATGATTATTGATAGAATTTTCGGCGCAGCTCAAAAGATAAGTATGAAATAAAAGTGGCCTTTATTTTAAGAATGTGGAGAGAGACTCCATGACCCTCCGGGGTCTGGCATTCTCTCCGCCAGACATGTGGTATGGGGGCATACATGTAGCTTAGGTTTGGGGTGGTGCCTAAGGGGCATTAGTGATGTACAGGTAGCCTATTGGTATTCATTTCTCACCACAGGTAAATTGCCTAGGGGTGGAAAAAGTGACCTCAAGATAGAGCCCCTTGGTTCCGCCTCCCAGCTTCCCAGCAGCTACAGTGTCCCATCTGCGGCAAAATCCTTTCAATTACGTGTATAAAATCTTGGTTATTGTTTTAGTTTCTTGTTACTGGAACAAAATACCTAACACAAGTTAAAGGAGGAAAAGGTCTATTTCTGCTCACAATTTGTAGAGGGATCAGTCTGTAGTTGGCTGGCTGCAAGGCAAGGCCACGTGGCAGAGGAGAAGCAGTGCATGGCACAGCAGGTGGAGGTGGCAGCAGCGGTGGCCTTCTCTCTGTCCCTTTATATAAAGATCCCATATAGCCATCATCTTTTCTTGGTGTCAAAGGGATACTAGAGAGGTAGAACAGCTATAAATCACTTTAGTCTATTACAAGACACCAGAAAAGAGAGAAGACTGTCTCATAAAATCCTAGTATCAGTTACTACATTAGAGGACTCCAGGATCTGAGCAACTCAGAGAATACACACCTTGCTCAGCATCTAGACGCCTTGCTAAAATGCTGTGGCAACACATTGTATCCCTTCCATTCCCTCAGCCCCGCCTTGTATCTCCCACCCCCACTTTGCCAAGACAGGAGGGTAAGCATGAAAGTCCTAGCTTTTCTCTCCTTCTCTACTTATGCTCCTTCTTTCACTATACAGGCTACAGGCCTATTGATTGTCACTACCCACATCCAGGTTGGGGCTTCCCATTGTCCACACTCATAACAATGATAAACCAATCAGTGGACCAATCCAGTTATCACACCTTTAATCTACAGTCACACATCCCAGAGTCATTCTTCTCCAAAAAACCCCATCTGTAAGTGTATGAGACTTGGGGACAACATGCAGATAAAACCTTATAAACACTTGGAGCAATAATTCTTTCTGTACCTATTTTCATTATTACTCTCTTAATTCTATTGACTTTGTCCTCTTTTTCACATTTTCATGGTACCAGTTTGGATAGGAAAAAGGGGAAAAAATCCTCATATTAAGTTTACTGTCAAAGCTAGTTGCGGTGGTACACACTATAATCCTAGCTACTTCAGAGGTGAAGGCAGGACGATCACTTAAGCTTTTATATTTTCAAGAGCAGCCTGGGGAACATAGTAAGACTGTCTCAAGGGGGAAAAAAGTAGCTGCCAAGAAGAGAAATCAGATAGCTCATGGAAGAAAAAAAAAAGGTGTTTCCATGGTCTGAATTTTCAGACATTGATACTCTTTACTTTTTTAGATTTGAAGTTTAGTATAATTGTTCTCCTTGTAACCTTTGACAGAAAGATTGGTTTGGTCAATAAACTTTTAGTTCTATACAGCTGATTCTTGAAGATATGAAATCGTTATCTGTTTTGCTTCGATATTACTTAAAACCTTTTTATCTCCTAAAGACAATTGATACAATGGAAACCATACTAGAAACTGTAGCCAAACAAACTACAGTACAGCTCCTACCTCTGTCATTTACTAGCTGAATAACTTTGGGTAAATCACTTAAATTTCTTTATTTAGAAGCAGTAGGATTAAACAAGAGGTCTGGCGTAAGCTTAACCCAAAGTTTCTTTGCTGATCACCACCCCACCGTAGGGGTAGTAGTAAAGAATAGGATATTAGAAAAATAAATTTCTCATTACTATAAGTAGAAATTCTTACAAGATCAACCTTAGCTAGAAAAGAAATAGATCCAATAAAGTTCTTTTGGGTTTCTGTGATCCCTATATTTAGATAACTATTTTAGTTTCTTTAGATTTCCATGGATCCCTTTTCACTGGTTCTCTGATTTAATTTTATTTTGATTAGGCCCAAGCCACCCCCTCCCTATATCATCGTAGGAACTGTACATTCAGACTGTTAAGGGCCTCTCAGCCCACTCCGTAGTAGCCAAGCTCAGTGCTTATAACCTGTCTGGATCACTTTCTCCATTAAAGACCCTCCACTCCTGTGTCCTGGTCTTTTTTCCTTTGTGGTTTATTAGAAAACTTGATGCTACTTGGCTGAAATATGAATAGCTTTAAGTGAATTATCCATCTTGGATAATTCAAGCAATAGTAAAGTGAAACACTGTATGGAAAGCTGAGCGTGGTGGTATGCACCTGCAGCAGGAGAGTGGCCACAATTTGAGGCCAGTCTGGGCTACATAGTATGTTTAAGACCCTTTGTACATACTGGGTGTGGTGGCACACACCTATAATCCCAGCACTCAGGAGGCTGAGGCACAAGGATCATTGTGAGGTCAAGACCAGCCTGGGTTAAAAGTGAGCCGAAAGAAAAATGTTAAATTTGGGAAATTTGGTTAAATTTGTCTAAATGGACAAAGACACAAATGAGTATAGTCTGAAACCTTTTGCCATCAAAGAAAAATGTTAAATTTGGGAAATTTGGTTAAATTTGTCTAAATGGACAAAGGACACAAATGAGTATAGTCTGAAACCTTTTGCCATCAAATCTTTTGCCTTTTTTTTTTTTTTTAATATACCCTGGTAACAGAGGAGGATCTCTTCCATGTAGCAAACAAGGAGTTGTGTCAGGAGACTAAAACCAGAAGACAGTGCTAAAACACGTTTATTTCAAGGGAAGAGTTACTATCGTACTCATCTTTTCTTTTATACACAGACATCAAGAAAAGTTTGGGATGAGTGTTTGAATAAAGCAGAATGGAAGTGAGATGGTTGCATGGGGAGTAGAAACTGTACCAGTTATAGTTTGTACCATTATGGTGCTGCTGGGTTCCTGGTAAGGACTAAGAAGCCATTCATTGATTATATAAATGAACACTCATTTGTTTGTATTTGGATACATCACATTTGCTGCTTGGCCAAAGGTATAGTTACCTTATACCCAGCTGTTGATGGTTACCTGGAAACAACCTGGCATAGAATTTGGATGCTTGAGTTATGGATGGGTGTGTCACTGTTACCAATGGATTAACACCTCAGAGTTTATCCCAGCCTTATAAGTGATAATGTCTTTGGTCTGTGTTATAAGTTCCAGGCCTCTGGTACTTTTTTCTCATTTACTGAAGCAAAAGGACTATAGGATAGCCCTTAAAATACAGCTCTCTTATCAGTGGCCTGTTGATTTTTCAATCTAGATGTGCTGGTTTTAAGCCTGTTTATAATGAAGTGGCCTAAATCTCCTTTCTTTACCTTTAGTTTCTCCCTGCTATTAGGAGAGAAAAAAAATTCTCTCTCATTATTTTGGTTGTTTGTTGTTTTTGGAAGTTATTTGTTTGTTTGTTTTTTCCTGTCTTTGTCATAGATATTTGGGGCAAATGGAGCAAAGATAATCTTTTGTGCACTTCTGTCATTGTTTCTGGTATATCCCTGGCCCAGCATCCTGTTTCCAAACAGTTCAATCTGTTTTGCTCAGTCAGCCTTTTCTAAGATAATATTTGGAACAACTTGAAGATCAAAAACCTGAGAGACAGTTGAAATGGCTTTGGTTTCATTTACAATGGAATTGCAGTGAGTTGGTGTGGGCAGTGCTTGTAGGCTGAATAAAGGCTGTTAGGAAGCCATATGCTAAGAGGCGTTTCATCCCTCTTTCCATAGCAACTTTATCTGTAAAAGTGTTTTGCTGCTGATGTAGTTAATAAAAAAAATTTTAGTTCCTGTTCAGAGCTGTGTATCTGCCATTATCTGTTTACTTTAACCCATCTCATCATTTGATTTTTGTGTCCTTCTATCTTCCCAGGTGGCATTGGCAGAGTGGTCAATGGAGCCTTCATGGTGCTGAAAGGGCACCGATCTATTGTTAACCAGGTCCGATTTAATCCACATACCTACATGATCTGCTCTTCTGGTGTAGAAAAGATTATTAAGGTGAGGCACCTTCCCATTCTATCCTCTAAAGAAATTATTACAGTTGGGGCTGGGGATTTAGCTCAGCGGCATAAGTGCCTGCCTTGCAAGCAGGCAATCGTGAGTTTGATCCCTGGTACCGATAAAAAGGAAAAAGAAAAAAAAAAGAGCGCAAAGAAATTATTACAGTTCATAATCAGAAAAAATTGGAACAATGTATGTAAGACATCATATCTAAACACACTAAAGGTTGTAATGATTTTGACATATCAAAAAATATTGGGAAGTTGATATTAGAAAGTGATTCAGACTTCTTCAGAACTATGTTTTTGGTTTGGTTTGGTTTGGTTTGGTTTGGTTTGGTTTGGTTTGGTTTGGTTTGGTTTGGTTTTGGTACCAGGAGTTGAACTCAGGACCTTGTGCTGGGCATACAGGCCCTATGCTGCTGAGCTATATCCCTGGCCCAATTGAGGGTTTCTTAGTTCTTTCAGAACTATTTTCAATGCACTTACTAAGAATTTAAAGACTGGAGATTTAGCTCAGCAGCATAAACACCTGCCTGGCAGGCACAAGGTCGTGAGTTTGATCCCTGGTACCCCCCCACCCCAAACAATACTTTCATTAGAAGTACTCTGTACCTTTATCAGTCACACAATTCTACAAAAAGGGGTAAATGACTTTTGTGAATAGAACTACATATACATGGATACATTTCTGTGTCTTACATATGTGTGCTTATATAATTATGTATATTGCTTCTACATGTTCCTTAACTACCCCTTTGACTTTGTGTATAGGTAACTATCAAATATGGCTGTGTGTATGGTAGAGACCATACAGGTGACCTTGGAGACCTTACTGATGACCTTGGAGATGTCTTTGAGTCTTCCAGGACTGCTGGTCGAAAGTTCCATTGTTTCCATGGAACTATAACTCTAGAACCTATAACTTGGCCTATAACTCTAGAACCATTTAAAAATTACTGACTTCAGGGGCTGGGGATTTAGCTCAGTGGCATAAGCACCTGCCTGACAAGCGCAAGATTGTGAGTTCGATCCCCAGTACCTAAAAAAATAAACTCCAGAAAACAAAGAAAAAGTAAAAAATCACCTGGCTTTGAAACAGATGGTGTACATACTACTTTTTATGCCATGAAATTTCCAGTGGGCTTTCATCTTGAATATGATGAATTCTGCTTTCTAAACATCACCTGGACTTAAGATAACCATTATCCCTTTTAGTATACACTGTCCTTCCATACCCTCTTTGCATTAATTGTTGTCCTAATATGGCATAGATACAGCAAGTGATTGAGATATAGCAAGCGATTGTCAAAACTACATTGTCTAAGGATATTAAAAAGAAAAACGGCATGTAGTTGTAATTGAGACTACTTGGATGCAAATATTAAGCATACCAACTGTATATCAGTTGAATAAACTTACCTTGGCCAAGGAACATGTTTATGACTACAACAGAGGGACCCTACCTGGCCAGTAACCATACAAGGATAGTCCACTGTCCATCATTCACATTGCAGTTGTTCATAACCCTTTATCCACATTTGAGGAACTGAGTACAGGGAAAATGATGAATTTGTGAGGACCCTGTAATAACTTGACTTTTAAGTAAGGATAAATGATATTCTTCCCAAAAATGTTAAAGGTTCTGTTTTTGTTTATGCTTTGTTTTGTTTTTGTTTTTTCTTAAAATGAGAGAGAATTCAGAAGGAAAGTAAGCTGAGGGAAGTTTGAGAGGAAAAGTAAAAACTGGTTTGTAATGACTTAGTTAAGTCAAGTTATATTTGATGACAGGACATAGTTATCTGGAATAAAATATTGCAGCTGGGCATGGTAGCACTTACTATAATTCCACCTATTTGGCAGGCTGAGGAAAGAGGACAGCAAGTATGAGACAACAAAGAGAGACCCTAACCCAAAATACAAAGGGCTGGGGGATGCAGCTTAGTAACAGAGCTTTCCAGGGTTCAGCCCCCAGCACCACATTAAAAAAAGAAGGGAATTAAACATTAATGCCAGGGTCAGTGGTGTACAGCTAGGACCTCAGCTCCTCAGCAGGCTTGTACCTGGTTTTGGCAACATAGTGAAGACTCCTCCCCATTTTAAAAAGTGGGGCTAGAACATTAGTCTGTGGGTAAACGTGTATTTGCTTCTGTTTAAGCTTTGTTAGGCCTAGAGACCAGAGCTATCTTTTTTTGCTGCACTTGTTTCCCCAGAGGGACAGAAGGGGACTTCAGGAATATTTTTACCAACTTTTTTTTTACATTTGATGAAATTTAAATGATAATTATTTGAGGTCACACAGTTAATTAAGGGTAAAGCTGGGACAGAAACCAGTCTTTCATGCCACCACACTCACCGTGGTCACACAAGAGCAGTGGGCAGCCTGATTAACTCTGTATCCTTTACTCTTTGGCCTGTGACTAATGGATTGGCACTGTAACGTATCCTCTGCAGGCCTGTTCACCTCGTTCTGTTTCTCAGAGAGCTCTCTACTTGGGCATCTCCTTTAGAAGACAAATTCCTTTTTGGCTGTGCATTCTGGATGCTTCTGTGCTAAGTCTCCCCAATTATTGTTTAGTCAATTGAAGTCCTTACCCCGAAGGTCATAGGTTGGAAACTAGCCAAGTTCTTAAGAAAGAGAAGAAAATATTTTCTCCATGAGGTTATCGAGATGACTCTCTGGAAGTTAGTGCTCTGGGTTCCCATAGGAACCACAGGCTTGTTTAGTCATTTGAAACTTTTAAGTCTGTGCAGATGACCATAATGAGAGGGAAAATAAAAAGCTTTGGAGTTCCCAGCTTTGCTGTCTAACAAGTGTCTTCCCCTTTCTCTGTCGAGTTGGGTATTAGGCAGCATTAAAAGTGCCAGACATGATGGTGCACAACTATGATCCCAGCACTATGGGAGACTAATATGGGGGGTGGGGGGGGTCATGAATTTGAAGCCAGTCTGGACAACACCCTATCTCAAAATACCAAACAGCACTGTAGGAGGGCTAGGAAAGAGATAGATGAGTCTTAAGTGCAGTGCTGGCCTCATCCGATTACTGGAATTCATGCCTTGTCTGTGCCTGTATCATCCTGAAAGACCGTTGAGTTTTGGCACCCTAGACTACCAGTCTACTAGCTGTGAAGTGAGGATTTGCCACCCAGGAGTGCCTTGGGAATTATCTGGCCTGATAGTTTTTATTTTAATAAGTGTCGCTTTCCTGCTTGCTGCTTCTGAGAAGGTCAGTGTCTCAAAGAGATCAATAATACTATGTTCTGATCCAGCTGAAGACCTGATTTTTACTCTCCCCTCTACCTTCTTCTTGTCCTTAATCCTTCATTGCCGCCTTTTAACCTTAAGAAGAGTTGGTGTTAATAAGGCCAGCCTGTTTTCACCCATAACAGATCTTCTGGATCCCCACACTTAGCAAAAAGATTGGATTTGTTTTATAGTTAAACATAGGTAAATCCTGGCATTTTCTACCCAAAGGCTCAATATTCATTTATTCACCCCATATTTGTGAAATGTGCCATTTGTGCTAGACCTGTGGCAAATGTGATGATAGAGAAACGTGGTGGCTCACGCCGGTAATCCCAGCACTCAGGAGGTTGAGGCAGGACGATTGTTACGAGTTCAAAACCAGCCTAGGCTACAAAGTGAGCTCAAGGCCAGCCTGAACTGCACAGTGAGACCCTGTCTCAAAAAGACAAAAAAAAAAAAAAAAAAATACAATTCTCCCTATGAATTGATGACGTAGTAGAATACACAAGAAATGAAGATACTGAGAGATGAGGCAGGTATACTAGAGATACAAAGTACTGTGAAGGAGGGAGGGATTTCCATATAGTTTAATATTTGAGCTCAATTTTGATGAATGGATAGACTAGTACATTCCAGTTAGAATGGGTATTTATTTCATAGGCTCCCCCAGTATTTAATCACCATCGACTGTGTGCCAGGTATTGTGCTTATGAATAAATATTCAGAAACTGGAAAATCTGGTGAGAGAATGATTATGCAGGGCCAAAGAAAGGAAGACAAAAGAGGAGGGACTAGGATATAAGGCTAGGAAGGTAGGCCAGGGCAGCACAGATGCCACGTTAGAAAGAGTAGCAGTCTCTCAGATATCAGCCTAAGATCTTATCTGTGCATGTTTACTTGGTAGGTGGACAAACTTAAGTTTGTGTAAGGGCAAAGAAGGAAGAAGGCTTAGAACCTACTCCATCAAGCATGTTTGTCCTCGCCACTTGGTAATACAAACACTTGATTTCTTTCCATTTGGGTAATATTTGAACAAAAATTGAGCTCCATCCTTTTGCTCAGCTAAACTCTTTGCTAGACTTAGAGAAAAAAAAAAAAAAAAAAACTGTTCGTTCCTCTTCCTTTTCTCAGAACCTTACCCCAGGAGGCGGCTCTAGCCACATTTAATAGGTAACGGGAAGTCATTGTTTTTGTTTCATGTCATGTTTTTGTCCTACTGGGAACAGAACCCAGGGGTGATCTACGACTGAGTTACTTCCCCAGCCCTATTTTTATTTTTTATTTTAAATTGGCCAGTCAGAACTCAAACTTGCACTCCTGCTACGTCAGCCTCTCTCTGAACAGGGGTCATAGGAAGGTACCACTCACTGCCCTGGTGAGGAAAACTGTTTATGTTGTCATTGCTGTTCTTCATATTCCTTTCTTAGTTGATGAGTTTTGGAGTAAGGAAATAAACAGTTTCACAAATGTTTGAAACTGATGTTTTAAGGATGATGACCAAGATAATAAGGATAGTTAGTACTTTCGATGTTCAAGTCTCTCTGAGAGTGAGACACTCTGGTTTTTGTATTCATTTGCCAAAAGCAAGTACTGGGTCTGTTGGTACTTGGGTACTAAATGATGTCATTTCATAGTTCTTATTTCTGCAGATGAGAAACAGGCTTTCAAGGGTGAAGTCATTTGCTCAGGACCATAGCACATGGTGGGGCTAGGGTTCCCACCTGATTCCACAGCTCTGTGCTGCCACTCCCATGAGGCAGACCCTAGCAGCGAGGGAGTGGATGATACCCATCAGATACACTGCTTGGAGGAGGGAGCCAAGCCTCTCACCCAAGGCCACCAGCTAGCTGGTGGCTGAGTGGGAAGTCATACTCCAGTCTTCTCTGCCTCTTAGTCCTGTTTTGTTCCGTTACCCCAGGTGTCAGGAATGAACAGTTTGCCTCAGTGTAATGCATTCCCGAGCCCAAATAAAAGCTGACTTTCTATGCTATGATTTTCATTCTTGAAGTAAAAGCATGAGGGGCTGGGTAGATTAGAACCTCAAAACTGGCCCGGGAAGTAATCAGACCAGCATTTCACCATTAGTGTTTTGTACTCTGTTAATAAATTCTGAACTATAATGACAGGATAAATAGATGTATCTTCATATTAGAGAATATTATTAATAGCATGTTACCTTTGTGAAACTGGGAAAATGAGAGACTTGGCTCAGAACTAAGAATAAGAAATTAGGCATGGTGGCACACACCTGTAATCTCAGCATTTTGGAGGCTAAGGCAGGAGGATCTCTGAATTCAAGGCCAGCCTGGACTACATAGTGAGTTCAAAGCCAACCTGAACTGCATAGCAAGACACAATCTCAAAAAAAATAAAAAAAGAGTAAGACCCTCAAAAATTTCTAAGAAGTTTGCCTTTAACATCCTTTCTGAGCCATCAAACTTACTCATTCACATATCTTTTTGCAGAGATTACCATTTATTGCTCAAGCCTTGTGTTACAGATCATGTCAAAATGTTTCCCAAACACTTGAGTCTCACAAAAAATTTGAGAATCCCTTCAGGCAAACCCTTTTTTGCTACTTATTTTAACTAACTATATTCCAGCATTTCTTGAAGCTGATTCACAGTACCTGCCCCTTGAGTGCTTATTAAAATATGTTATCTTATGGGCAAGGTGCTATGTGCCATAATCTCAGGTGACTTGGGAGGCTGAGGCAGGAGGATTACAAAGTCAAAACCAACCTGGGAAAATTAGCAAGACTCCATCTCAAAATAAGATATTTCAAGGGGCTGGGGATTTAGCTCAGCAGCATAAGCGCCTGCCTTGCAAGTGTGAGGTTGTGAGTTCAATTCCTGGTACCAAAAAAAAAAAAAAAAATTTTTTTTTAAACTAGGTATGTGGCACATAACAGTAATCCCAGTAGCTCAGGAGGCGAAGGCAGGTGGATCACAAGTTCAAGCCTAGCCTGGGCAACTTACCTCCTATCTCAATCCTATCTCAAAATATAAAAGGACTGGAGACGTAACTCAGTAGGTACTAGGTTCAATCACCAGTATAAATTAACCCCAAATAAGAAGATGAGCTAGGGACATAGCACCATAGGCCAGTAATAAGAGTGTTTGTCTAGTATGTCTAAGACAATTCAATTCCTGGCCTCTCTCCCCAAAAATTCAGCTCAGAAGGCTGAGGCAGGAGAATCATGAATTGAAGGCCATACTGGGCCACATTCCAAGACCTTGTCTTAAAATTAAAAAATTTTTAAAAGCCCCCTGGGATGATGGGGTAGACTAGCATGAGTGAGGCCCTGGGTTCAATCCTTAATACTATGTGTCCCGCCCTCCCCCCAAGAATAGTCCTGGCACTTACCTATAATCTACCCAGAGGCTTTGGAGTCGACACTGTAGTTATTCTTCCAGTGATTCCTTTTTTTTTTTCTTTTTCTTTTTCTTCTGGTGATTCTTGACCACTCCAGAGTATGAGAAATGTCTTGAGCCTCCTGGATGAGATTATAAAGCTAGAGGGAGGAAGACAATCAAGGAGTTGTGGACAAGGAACAAACCTGAAGTAAAATGAATCTGAGTTGGGAACTGGTGGCAGGAAGCAACTCTAGAAGGTTTCTTCAGCCCCCTTTGAACTGGGAGTCCTCCAAAGAGAGGATCTCCCAGATGTTGCAAATCATAGCAGAATGAGCCTCAGGGAAATTCCCACAAGAAGGTGAAATGTGCTGCTATCTTTGGGGAAACAAAACCTTTGTCTTGTGGAGGATGAGAAATGAGGGACCAGTGCTCTCTGGGTCTCATGCCATCTAAAGATAGACAGACACTAGCCTATCAGGCACGACAGTCCCCAGGAATTTCATTGAATTGCCATGGCTACATGCTGATATAACTGAGCTTCTCTCTGGACCACTCTGACAGTCAGGTGGAACTAATCATTCTTGCACTGACAGCTTAATTACTGTGAACTTGATTTTTGCATAACTTCTCCAATGTGTGCAGTTGGGCCTTTGAATCAAATGGACCAGAGTTGGAATCCTAGTTTTGCCACCTTTTCACTGTGAACCGGGTCCCAAACTAGGGGGCACAGGACTGTTAAAGGGTGGGGTCCCAGTCACCCCTCTGGGAGTGTATCTTTCCTATTCCTGCAGTTAAGAAAAAAGTTGAGGAGCAAGCCAGCAGCTCCCTGGTTAAAAGAACCCAGTCTCCTGGGTAACTGGTGTCTGCATGTCCAAGAGGGAGCTGCAATGTAGGCAGTCAGCTATTCTTATCAACCATCAGTAAGCAATTCCCAGTAGTTAAAAACAGAAATGTTGCAGTCAGAGAGAAGTGGAACTCTAAGCTGAAATAGTGTCATCAGAAGGTGCGCTGCTGGCTGTGTTTTCACTTAGGAAAGTGGTACCTCTCTGGGCATGGTTTCAACCTTCTGAAAGTGTTCAGTGCGTTGGCCAACCTTCGCAAAGGTGTCCTTTATCCTCTCAAACTAGGATTATAGTTTGTAGCAGTTTCTAGCAGAGGAAACTGCAGGGAAAGAGATTGTGAGAAAGACAAGTTGAGATTATCCAGGACCTATAGACATGACCTCGGTCTCTTCACATGAAATTACTTTGATGTTCTAGACCACGATTTTTTTCACATGTTACTCTGGAAACCTATTTTCATATGTGATTCACTTGATCAAATCTGGTAAACTCTTTTGGTTTTTTTTTTTTTTTTCTTTTTCGTTTTTATCGGTACCAGGGATCGAACTCACGACTGCCTGCTTGCAAGGCAGGCGTTTATGCCGCTGAGCTAAATCCCCAGCCCCAAGTCTGGTAAACTTTTGTTTTTTGGTTTTATTTTTGAGAGACAGTCTTAACTATGCAGCCCAGGGTAAACTGGAATTTGTGATCCTCCTGCCTCAGCCTTTTGAGTGCTGGCATTATGTAGGCCTATTGCCACCACCAGCAGCTAAAAAATACAAAGATGGGGAGGGCCTGGGGAAACCCTGCCTTGGTGTGCTTTGTCACCCCAGCTGTGGCATCCTTTCTAGTCAGTTTTGATTGCTTTTGTCTTTATCTGTACAGATCTGGAGCCCATACAAGCAGCCAGGATGTACCGGAGACCTCGATGGCCGCATTGAGGATGATTCCCGTTGCCTCTACACCCACGAAGAGTACATCAGCCTGGTGCTGAACAGCGGGAGTGGCCTGTCCCATGACTATGCCAACCAGTCCGTCCAGGAGGATCCCAGGATGATGGCCTTCTTTGACTCCCTGGTCCGCCGAGAGATCGAGGGCTGGAGCTCAGACTCGGATAGCGACCTCAGCGAAAGTACCATCCTCCAGCTGCATGCAGGGGTCAGCGAGCGTTCGGGCTATACTGACTCAGAGTCCTCAGCCTCGCTGCCTCACTCCCCACCCCCCACCGTGGATGAGTCTGCTGACAGCGCCTTCCACCTGGGGCCCCTGCGGGTCACCGCCACACCTGCGGCAGCATCTGCCCCACCAGCACCCACCTGTGAGGATGCAGCCTCTCGCCAGCAGCGCCTGTCAGCTCTGCGGCGTTACCAGGACAAACGCCTCCTGGCCCTGTCCAATGAGTCAGATTCTGAGGAGAATGCCTGTGAGGTCGAGCTGGACACAGACCTCTTCCCCCGGCCCCGCTCTCCCAGCCCTGAGGATGAGTCCAGTAGCTCCAGCAGCTCCAGCAGTTCAGAGGATGAGGAGGAACTGAACGAGCGCCGAGCCTCCACCCGGCAGCGGAATGCTGCACGGAGGAGGCAGAAGTCACTTCGGGAGGAGAGGCCCACCGCGCCCGTCAAGCCCACCAGCACCTACATTGGGGAGGACAACTGCGACTACCCACAGATCAGAGTGGATGACCTCTCCTCCTCCTCCCCAGCCTCCTCCCCAGAGCGGAGCACTTCCGCCCTGGAGATTCAGCCCAACCGGGCATCGCCAACCTCAGACATAGAATCAGTTGAGCGAAAGATTTATAAAGCTTACAAATGGCTCCGTTACTCCTATATCTCCTACTCGAATAACAAAGATGGAGAGACCTCCCTAGTGGCAGAGGAGGCAGATGAAGGGAGAGCAGGAACCAGTCACAAGGACACTTCTGCCCCCTCTTCTAGTAAAGAAACCTCTCTGAGCACAGCCATGGTTCAGATGAACCAGGACCCATCTCCAGAAGGCTGCAGCAGAGATGCTTGTAAAGAGGGGACTTCCAGTCGAAGTCCTAGCAGTGGCCCAGGCCATGAGCACAGCAGCCACTCTCGGGCAGAGGCACCAGAGGGCACCTCTCAGGACACTAACAACGGGGGCTCTGTAGAGCACTCATTTGAAACAAAGAAGCTCAATGGAAAGGCCCTGAGCAAGGCCCTGAGCAGTCGGGCTGAAGAGCCAGCTTCTCCCCCTGTCCCCAAGGCATCGGGGTCCACTCTCAGCAGTGGATCTGGCAACTGTTCTAGGACCCAGTCTGATGACAGTGAGGAGAGGAGCCTAGAAACCATCTGTGCCAACCACAACAATGGACGCTTACACCCCCGGCTCCCTCACCCCCACAACAATGGGCAGAACTTTGGGGAGCTGGAGGCAGTAGCCTACTCTTCCCCAGGACACTCAGACACTGATCACGATAACTCACCCCTGACGGGGACTCTCATACAAAAAGATTGTTGTGGGTCTGAAATGGCCTGTGAGACCTCCAGTGCTGCAACAAGAGAGGACCCCACTGACACCTCAGCCACAGACAGCGGCAGGGCTGTCCATGGCCATAGTGGCCTCAAAAGGCACCGAGTTGAGTTAGAAGACACAGATTCAGAGAATTGCTCTTCAGAGAAGAAACTAAAAACATGATAAATACAAAGGGAAAACAAAAGGCTACAAAAAGTAGCTATACAAAAAATGTTGTTAGTGAACACAGCAGAAAGGAAAAAAAGTATTAAAGGCACATGAAACCAGGGCCTGAAGTTTTGTGTCTGCTGCTGCTCCCTTCTTTTCAATATTCAACAGTGGGTCTGAATGTCTAGCTGGCCGCTGGCCACTGGCCCGTGTTGTGTTAAGAAAGGGGAAAGGGTCAAGTAACTCCTTTCTATTGAGACAGGAGCATCGCGCATCTGTGCAAGGGTCACCAAGTCCTCATTGAGACATTTGACTGTTGTCCTGTGAGTGCCTGCACTGGCACTTGTGAGTTCACTGTCTCGTGAGACTTTTTTTTTTCAGTTGTCCATCAGCAAGGACCTGTGAGTCTCTAGTTTTGCAGTCTCACCCTGTTCACATGTTGTAGTATTCAGGTCTTAAGGAGGAGTGCCTGGTAGATGAGATGGTGCAGCCATTAAGTTATACGTTTATACCTGGAGAATAGAAACAGACCTTCAGCCATTGGCTCTGCTAGAGAGGAAATCATGGTTCCTTTCTTAAACCTTCCATGTTTTCTCTTAAGTAGTGCTTCTTCATTGAGGGTATAATATAAGACACTAAAAGCAAGGCATTTCCAATGCCAAAAAGAGGTTAGCACTTAAGGTCAGGTTCAAGAAAATATAGATCCCTGATGAATTTCGTTGTTTGCAATTTGAGCAGTGCTGTAAAGTGTCATAAATTATACTAGTCACGGATAACACACTTTAACCAGTTAGGTGCTGTTTCCGAAGAGATACTCGAAAGGCATGGTGCTTCCTTGGCTCTATCTGCTGGAGATTAGGCACACTAAAGAAGGGAAGAGGATAGCTGTCCAGAGCTTTGTGTCCAGACTACTGCAGTGGGTGTTAGAGGTGTGTTAATGAAGAAGTGTATCAAAGAGAAGACTGAAACCATATTCTTCTAATTCAGCCCAGAACCATTGGGAGGGACTGGTGTCTCCCCTTGCAGTTGCAGTTAGAGAGGCTGCAGTATTTTAACTGAACTTTGCAGAGCAGTAGTCATCTCTTAAAGTGACAGATTCTTACCGCATAGGTCTGGTAAGAGGCAGAGGGTGTAGGGAGAGAAAGGTTTGGTTTAACTCCTGGCTCCCGAAGGAAATTCAGTTCTGTTGATGTAGGTAATGTTTGAGAGGGAGAAAGGCCAAAAGAAGATTCTCAGCACTAAAATGGTGATGGTTTCGGTTACTCAGTTATCAATGAAGGGTGTGCAAGTCAGGAAGACCTAATAAGAATGATCAGATGTCTTACTGGCACAGACATCAAGAAAGGCAGAATTCTAGGAAGGAATGAGAGAGATAACAATGTACTTTTCTTGAGCACAAAGGGACTAGCTGAGGTTGGCACAGAGAAGGCCTAATGTGAGGCTAGTGTGTTCTCACTGACCCAACGTTCCTTTAAGACAAGGACCTGTCCTGCTGTTACTGGGACCAAGGGCAGCAGCCTGTGGAGGCTGAAGACTTGGATGAAGTCAGATGCTGGGGGAGGGAGTTCTTTATAGGAGGACAGGGCTAGTGTAAGCCAAAAGGAGCTGCCGTCTTGCTCAGTTCTGCAGAAGGGGGCGTGCCTAGTAGCTGTGCGACAGGGCTGGGAGCTAGAGTGCTGTGGAGGAGAAGGTGTGAGGAGTGTGGCAGAGTGGGACGTGTACTGTTCAACACCCAGACTCTTCCTGGGGAGTGGAATGGTGATTCTGTAACCAACATAGAAGTACTTTGGATTTGTAATTAAAATGGTTCTATGATTTGTCTTTAACTATTCACAGATAATTGTAAATTCTGGTTTTATAAGCCCAAGTTATTTTACATTTGCTTTTCCAAAATGTATTAAATTGAAATTTTGTAATCCTTTATATACAAAAAAGCTGCAACCACTCAATGTGTGTTTCTCTTCCCCTTCTTAGTCAGCATACCCAGTCCTTTTAATCAGCAGGTAGCCTTTTCTGACCACTCTAGACAATCCACATATTTTCTAGAGAATAAAGAAGTAGCATTTCCTTGGGAACTAGTGGTAGTTACAGTTCCCAAATGCCAAACTTGGTCTTTCATGTTAAGAGTTTATCTCATTTTGAGTACTCAAGAGAAATCAGAGTTCATTTTGATTAACCTTAGAAGCCAAGAAAGATTTTCAGAAGGATGCCTTCTGTCCTTGGGGAGAGACTTTTCCCGGTACCCTAGGTTAACTCAGCAGGAGAGAGGCCCATGAAATACTAAGTGAGGCAGGCTGGGAGTTAAGTGCTTCTGTCCTCACTTCCAGAGATCTCCGTGTGTGTTTGTGGTCCTGGAAACCTGACCTATTCCAGGGTCCTTTTGCCTAAACTATTGTAGAATTGGGGCCCCAATTTTGGAGGTGACTTAATCCCCAAATTCTTCCATGGTAGGTACTTCCCCCAGCAACACAGATGGCACTGATTAAATTAAGATCTATTTGGAAGTACCTCTTGTGTTTTCTTTTGCATCTGGTACATACAGTTTTAAGTGACAGATCCAGATATATAAAACTATTTCTCTTCACTTTATTTCCCACCTGGTTTTATAAATGATTCCTGAGGACAATAGGTAAATTACTTAAATGAGTGGTTGGCTTGGGACAAATGAAGCTTGCAACTGCATTTGATTTAATAAGCCGAGTCTTGTTTGTCAAGGTGCCTTCCTCTGCTGAAGCCTTACCTCCTCACAGCCTAGCCTCTTCTCATCCAGCCACGTTAACTCTTCTCTTGTGTATATGCAAATAAACCTGTTATTCACTTCTCCTATCTTCCTCTTCTCTTTCAGGGGAGACTTGATTGCTTAGACACCTTTCCACCTTTCTTTGTTTCTTGTTTTAATTCTTGCCCAGCTGAAAACTTGATTCAAAGCCATGTTGAAGACTAGGAGACACTACATCTGGGACAGTGGTCATTGTCTTTTCTAGGTATTGAGACAAATTCATATCTGACAACAAAATACAGGCTAGGGAGGTAGTATCTATTTGATCCCCTTTTCCAGGCTTACAGAGACCCAGGAGAGTGAGACCTTAGAACTGACACTATTAATAGGAAAAATTGACGGAGCATTGCAGTAAAGTGAGAAAACTGTTCTCCACAAAATGTTTTCTGATGTGTCCAAATTGCTTTTGCTGACCTGCTTCAGACATACATTACATTTTCATTCTTTCGGGAGAAAACGAAGTTCATTTACTATAAAGCTGCCTACTACAGTTACCTGAATATTGTTGCCAGCTAAGACTTTTGTCAAGAAAACAGATACTTCCAAAGGAATACTGCCCATTTCCTATGGTCTGCATAGGCCATGTACTGGGGTAAGTCCTAGGCTTGCCCTCAACTGCAGGATAATGGCTCTGACAAGTTGCATGATTCTCTCGGTGGGCTATTCCAGTCAGAATGCTCATCGGTCCATTCAGTGCCTGTAGTGGAATTAAATGACATGAATTCAAATAAGTGATTTTTAATTTTTTAAAGAACTAGTACTTTTAACATGAAAGCATATATTAAAAAAAAATCTTAACATCTGCACCCTAATGGCTGTCATTATTAGTACAAAGTTAGTACAGTGCTCAGGATGGAGACTTACAAGCCAAAATAACCTTAGGGCATCCTACACTAATATGGCCAAGGACAAGCAGCAGTTCTCCCATTCAGCTGACGACCTTTACTTGGGCTGTGCAGAAGAGTCCTGCCAAGCTTATGTTGAAAGGAAATGGTATATCCAGTCTTTCCTATTACATTGGGAAATGACTCCTTTTGTCCAAGTACAGACTGTTGGTTTCATGTCTTAATCTACCTGTTAATGTCCCATCAAAGGTAGAGAAAGATAATAAAACACTTGAGGTACCTAGGTGCCCATGGAGAGTCCTCAGGCATGAAATTCTTGTCTGAAGTTGGGGTAAGAGGGTCAGGAAGACTGCTATGGACAGAATGAAGTGGCAGGTCAGCGCAGCAGCTTCCTGGGTCCGTATAACGTGCTCAGCATGCATTGGGATTGGCCTCTAAAATACCTGGTCTTTTAAGATCCTCCAAGTTCAATCCCCACTTTCCAGTGGAAGTTAATACAAATACAAGACTGGTTTGGAGCAAGTTCTTACAGATCTCTTGTCTAAAATGCATAAATATTGAGGAAGGGAGAAATTGTGTAAGTTACCTGAGCACCAACGTACTTAAATGTGAAAAGTAGATAAATTTTTAAAACATACTGAAATGTGCACCAAAGACAGGAAGGTGAGTGGGCACACTTGTAATCCCAGCACCCTGGGAAGCTGAGACAGATTGGAAAGTTCAAGAAACTGATTTAGCAAGAACTTGTCTTAAAATTTAAAAAAAAGGGGGGGGGGGCTAGAAGTGTGGCTCACTGCAAAGGCTCAGTCCCCAGTTCCACAAAAAAAAATAATAATAAAACTAATAAAAAAGGTGTGTGGTTATTGATGATTGGCATAGACTTTCATAAAGTGATTTATTATCCTCCTGCTTGACTATGCCTAGGCTGGTTGTTGGCAATATTTGGTGCCTGCCCCTACTTTTTTTCTTTTCCAGTCTGAGCCAGTGTCTTCTAACATTTAGTTTCTCCATGGCCCCAACTTAAATGTGAAGGCTAAGTTCTTTTCTTCCTAAGAGAGACCTGTGAATGTAGTAGAAATGGCACAAAATAAGGCAGTGAGTGCAATGAAGTACAATAGCTGCTTTAGCCTTGGGCAAGTCACCCATGCTTCTGGGAATAGAAACCGATCGCTGTCAGCTCAGAAGCTGATCCCACTCTGGTGGGCAGAGGGCTCACTAGATCTGACTGATTCATCATTCTTGAGATAGCTCTCTAGTGCCCATGCAACCTGCTGAACCAAGAGCTCTGGCAGGTATACAACTGCTCACAACCTCAAACTCCTTTATAAAATAGGGAAACAGTATCTGTCTCAGCGTGTTGTCAGAGGATTGAGTGAGCACACCTACAGTATAAGCTCTATATAAAAGCAAAACAGCCATGTGCAGTGTCCCAGCCACTGGGAGGCTGAGCCCAGGAGCTCAGGGCCACCCTGGAAACGTGGCAAGACCTTGTCTCGTGTGTGTGTGTGTGTGTTTCCCATTATAGGTACCATGTGGGGTGGGGGGTTTGGATGGGGTCAACCAAGAACTACAAAGTAAGTTCTTCAGAGAATTACATACTGTGTATTTATTATCCAGTATTAACTTGAAACCATAGGGAAAGAGTAAATTATCCCCATTATAGTGGACCTGTCAAAGCTGAGTTTGGAGTCTTTGCCACCAGCCCTGACTTGAGGTGCCAACTCTGAGAGGTAGGAGCTTAAAAGAAGGCCAGCTGACAGAAAGCCCAAAGCTCCTTGCTTATGAGAGCAGGTCTGCAGGAATTGGAGTGAGGAGTGGCAGGTCTTATACAAAGCTAGTCTTAATATGGTGGTGCTGGAGAGGACTCAGACCTCAGGAGCTGGAATAACAAAGACTTTTCCTGGTGTTCAGAGCTGAAATTGTCTGACCTGGCCTTGGGCCATCCCTAAGAACCACAAAATGGACAGGCCATGGAAAAGCTCCCACCATGCCAAAGGAGAATGCTGATCAGAGCTTTCCATGTGGGGGCAGCAGGGAAGTGCAGTAAAATACTCTATGGTTCAAGAAGTTAACAGGGAGGAAGTCTGAGGAGGCCAAAAGGGGAAAGGATCAGAGCTCAGTGCCGGCCCCTAAGTGCTCAGGACAGCACAGGAGATCCGGAGCTCACAGCCCTTGAAGAGGACAAGTAGAGAACCGTGAGCAGGAAAGGCTCCATCCACATTGCTGGTGGGAAAGCAATGAGATTACACTTAAGGGAAAAGCTTTTCAGATAAAACACATCGAGAGGCCGGAGCACAGCAGAGAAGACTGGGAGGCCAAAGAAGAGTCAATACTTAAGTCAAAGCGCACTCTGAGGAGGGAGAGGGTGGGTAGCTGCAAAGTCTGGTTCTGCTGCTTCATTTTGGGGGTGGAGAAATGGAGGGCTCTCAGTGGTGGGCCTGTCCCCTGAGGTGCTGCTCTCCTCACCTCTTGCTGGTTCCTCAATATGGTTCTTGGTAAGAAAGACGCTTACCAGACCTTCGCACCTGTGCGGTTCCAGCTGGGGCTTTGATTACAATATGCAGCAATAGTGAGGGATTGAAAGTGGTCTGTAAGCAGACAGGTTCAACTGGGTAGAGACTTTGGCAAAAGTGAGTGAGAGGGCTGGGGATTTAGCTCAGCGGCATAAGTGCAGCATAAGCGCCTGCCTTGCAAGCAGGCAGTCGTGAGTTCAATCCCCGGTACCAATAAAAGGAAAAAGACAAAAAAAAAAGTGAGTGAAAACCAAGCTGGAGGTTGGACCACCCTTGCCCCAGAAAGCCAACACAGTGGTCTCAGCTGCACCTCTTACCTGCTCTCACCTCTTCTGGGTTACTGAATGCTGTCCTCCTATTTCAGCATCTGGGAGATGTAAATAAATCCCTTGGGTGGCTTTCAGAGATGAGCAATAAACACGCTAGGGATTGGGAAAAAAAACATAAAATGACCAGAGGGTGGGAGTTGAATTTTTAGCTCTTAGATAGGCAGAGATTTAAGAATGAGAGGTCTTTCAGATAGTAAGAGAGGGCCAGGAAAGGAAAGGATGAGTTTTAAATGGAATCTACCGAGACGCGGGTCCAGTAAGACTGATGCAGGTCACTGTTCTCTTCCTCACTTCTGGATTCCGAGGATATCTTTTCCTCAAACTAGCTGTGATAAGCTCATATTGCTTTGTCTTCACTGCACTCTTAAACATCCCTGCTCAGAGGGTCCCCTGGCACTTTGATTTTGAAGCAGCTGTCTGGCTTAGGTCCCAGGAGCAGAAGCAGAGAGGTAGTCAGCCCCTGTAGGTGGACAGCTGGCCTAGCTTTGCCTCATTCTGCATCTAGCCATCGATGGGGGTAAGAGTTGGCACAAAGGCCAGTATCCAAATCCTGCCCCTAGCTTATCCTGTGGAAAGACCCACAGAGATGTCCAGCTGTGGGCCCTGCTAAGTGTATCCCACAGAATGCTGGCTCAGTCTAGAACCAGCAGCTACATTCAGTCCACTGACTCTCCCTCTTCCCCACCCCCATATTGAGTCCAGTAGGCAAATAAGACCTTTTCTAAGGGATAACTACCTAAGACCAGAAGACAAGTAATCCTTGAAGGGTAAGGATTTGGACCCACTGCCTGCTCAATGCTACACTTATACCTTTCATCCTGCAGATTAATAGATGTGAAATGAGGAATTCTGGGAAAAGGTGAGTTCTTGACATCCACTCAAAAGAAAGAAGTAGGGAGCAGGAAGGGAGGGAGAACAGGAAGGGAAAAGTAAAGAAAGGAAAGGGCTGGACAGTTGATCCTGGTATTGGTACACAGGATGATGGGAGAAGGGGAGCTGGCTGGAGGGATGGGACCCCTGAAAAGGCAGAGGAGCAAGAAGGACATGCCTCTGGGGTCCCTTTCAAACGAGAAGTCTAACTGATGGGATACGATAGAATTCTAGGGCAGCAGGCATGGGAAGTCAAGCTATGTCTTCATTTAAGATAATCAGCTCATCTGTGTCAAGTGAGATGATGCAGACTTTTTGGTTCTAGCTGAAATTGGCCCTTTCCCTTCCTAATCTGCTCCCTTTCAGCACTTAGAATGTGCATGGAAATGCAGCTTGGTGTTATGAAACTTGGGGTTCCCTTTCTGTCCTAAATACTTCTAAGTACAGACAACTACAGAAACGGCTCTATAGAGCTAGAATTTTAAAACCA